AAGCACTACAGTACGTAGTTACATTAGGAAATGCCAGCTAAAACTGTACTGTGCCAAAAGGAAGCCCTACATAAATAGTGTCCAGAAGCGCCGTCGACTTCTCTGGTCTCGGAGGCATCTGGGATGGTCCATTGTACAGTGGAAACGTGTATTGTGGTCAGACGAATCGGTTTTTCACATCTTTTTTGGAAGAAATGGACCCTGTGTGCTGCGGACCAAAGAGGACAAGGACCATCCAGATTGTTACCAGATACAAGTCCAAAAGCCAGGGTCTGTCATGGTATGGGGTTGTGTCAGTGCCTTCGGCAAAGGTAACTTGCACTTCTGCGATGGCACCATCAATGCTGAGAAGTATATCTCAGTTTTGGAGGAACAAATGCTGCCTTCAAGACGACGTCTTTTCCAGGGACGCCCATATTTATTTCAGCAAGACAATGCCAAACCACATACTGCGTGCATAACAAAGGCATGGCTGCGTAAGAAGAGGGTGCGGATGCTTGACTGGCCTGCCTGCAGCCCTGATTTGTCTCCTATAGAGAATGTTTGGCGCATTTTGAAACGAAAAATGCGTCAACGAAGACCCCGTACTGTTGCGCACCTAAAACGTTGTTTGCAGGAAGAATGGGACAAACTAACACCTGCAACACTTAGTCACTTGATTTCTTCAATGCCAAAACGTCTTTTAAGTGTTGTTACAGTGGTAAATGCTGTACTGTCACAACTTTTTTTGGAATGTGTTGCAAGCCTGAAAGGCAAGAATAGATATTTATTTACAAATCAAATGATGTTGACAAAAAAAAAAAAAACATGAATTATCTTGTGTTCATACTGTCTGCAATGAAATAAAAGTTAAGGGAAATTTGTAAATTACTGCTTTATTTTTTTATTCACATTTTCCACACTATCCCAACTTTTTCTAATTTGGGGTTGTATTATTTGGAACAGTATAGTACACTTCAGTTTTATTTGGAGGTATGTAACCTATGGACTTTATTTTAAAGAAAGAGAGTAAAAAAGAGAAAAAAAAGAGAAAAAATTACTGCATTACTGAAAAAATAATGTAAGCTATAATCCAAGTGAAAATGGTAGATTACCTGGATGCAAATAACACTCTGAGGGATAGCCAACATGGATTTAGGAGAGGTAGATCCTGTTTAACAAATTTACTTCAGTTCTTTGAGGAAGCTACAAGAGAAATTGATCGCAAAAAGGTCTACGATGTGATCTACTTAGATTTCCAGAAGGCCTTTGATGTTTTCCCTCAGATCACAAACTGCTCTTGCGTAAACTCAAAGCTGCAGGGATTTTAGGAACTGTTGCAGCTTGGATTTGGATCGAAAACTGGTTAACTGACAGGGAGCAGCGAGTAGTTATTAGAGGCACAATGTCACAGTGGGCCTGCATTCATAGTGGGGTACTGCAGAGTTCAATTTTAGGACCACTGTTGTTCCTAATTTACATTAATGATATTGACACCAATACATACAGTAAACTGGTTAAATTTGCAGATGACACCAAGGTGGGTGGTGTAGCAGATATTGAACTAGCAGCACAGAGGCTACAATGGGATCTGGATTTAATTAGCGACTGGGCTGATACCTGGCAGATGAAATTTAACATGTAAGGTAATCCATGCAGGGAGCAGAAATATACAGTACAGATATTTTATGGGATCCACTGAAATAAAGGTAGCTGATTACGAGAAATATCTCGGTGTGTATGTTGATGCTTCCATGTCCCACCCTCGCCAGTGTGGGGAAGCAATAAAAAAAAGGCCAATAGAATGTTGGGTTACATCTCTGATGCTACGATTATATAATTCCTTGGTAAGACCCCACCTAGAATATTGTGTGCAGGTTTGGTAACCATACCTTAAGAAGGGCATTGCTGCCTTGGAAAAGGTGCAACGTAGGGCTACGAGAATGATTCCTGGTCTTAGAGGAATGTCTTATGAGGAGAGGTTAGCTGAGCTGAATCTGTTTAGCCTCAAGCAAAGGAGACTAAGGGGGGGGGGGACATGATTCAGGTATATACGATTCTAACAGGTCTGGATGCTGTTCAGCTAAATGACTATTTCAATATTAGTTTAAATACTAGAACTCGTGACCATATATGGGAATTAGCGGGAGAACATTTTAAGATGAATTTGAGGAAGCACTTTACACAGCGTGTAGTTAGAGTATGGAATAGTCTTCCTGCTAGTGTAGTGCAAGCTATAACCCTGGGTCCCTTTAAATCAGAGCTAGATAAGATTTTAACAACTCTGAGCTATTAAGTTCTCCCCAAATGAGCTTGATGGGCCGAATGGCCTCCTCTCATTTGTAAATGTTCCTAAGGTCAATGCCATATTGTCTGGTGAATTTAAACATACTGGAAAACACTGGAAAATTTGTTTTGTTATTTAAATCTGTTGCACCTGCTGTTGTTTGGTAAAGTAAATTATGTCAGATAATGTTGGGTGTACAGCAACTCATTTTCAGTCAATTGTTATTTATACCTCTTTCCAGTCACAGAGCACTTTATTTTGAGACTCCTTTAAGTGACAGAAAATCCTGTAACCTAGCGCAGTTTGGGGAAAATGTAAAATTAAACAATTTCTTTTATTATGAAAATAAAATTTTTCATTGAAGAAAAGCTGGATTTTTGTTTACATGCTGTCAAATATAGATTTTAGAAAGAATCAGCATCAGCACATCACACTTGCAAAAAAAAAAAAAAAAAGAGTAATCGGAATCAGCAAGAAAACTGGAATCGGTGCATCTCAATTATTAAGGAAATAAAACTGTGACATGCATGTACATGTATGGGCAGACTTGTCTCGAATTGAAAATCTCACTCCAACAAGCTGAACAAAGTTGGCAACCCTGGGCTGATATCAATGCTAGCAAACTGTCCTATCTTAAATAGCTGCATAGAATTAACAAAAGCAAGGAGGGGAAAACATAGACAAGAGCTCCTCTGCAGTGGTTAACTTCATTCAGTACTAATTGTGTGTTCAAGCTGAAGTTTCTAGTGAATATGAATGATAATAATAATAATAGAGGGGGGGAGTGGGCCAGTGGCTGGGGCTTCCACACATAGGAGGGGGGCGTGAGAGAAGAACAGGGAATGAGGATGTGATCCTGCGGTGCAGCCTGAATTTCAACAGTCGCTCACAGCATATAAAGGCAGCTCCCAACTGCAGGGCCCACAAAGAGGAATTAGAAAGAAAACACAACAAAACACCATTTAAAAGATGCGTCGTTTTAGACAGTTCCATACTACTGTATAACAGGAAAGGCCCCTGGTGGAGTCCCCCAGCAGTGGGTGAGCATAAGGTCAGGGGTCAGCAGAGAACAGGGCCCCATCAGAACCAGCATGCAGGAAATCAGTCTGTTTATAGGACATATCCCCAGGACAGCAAAAACATAAGGGAGCTGATCACACAACCACTCTGGACGAGAATGACTTAATAACAATAATAATAATAATCGATACTTTATTGATCCCCGTGGGGAAATTGTCTTTTTACGCCTCCCTCAACTTGCTCTTTGTAGAGTAAGCTGTCCATGAAGGGCAGCAACCTGTTGGGGCACCCAGGGAGCTGGGGGTTAAGTGCCTTGCTCAAAGACCCACAGACATGCTGAGGCTGGGTTTGAACCGATGACCCTCTAATTACAGGCACACAGGCTTAGCCCACTGAGCCACACGCTGCTTACTGGTTTGTGTCCATCCTGAGAAGGAGGAACATGGTTCACATCCAAACATACATACATCCATCAATTTCCTGTAACCACTTGTCCTATTCGGAGTCACAGGGGGGCTAGAGCCTATCCAAAAGGCTATAGGTACAAGGCAAAAAACAACCCAGTATGGGGTGCCAACCCATCGCAGGGCACACGATCGATCAGTGCAGGAATTCAGACTGCAACAGGAATGGTGGTGGAACTATGGTAACATCTGGAATCGTGTTTAATAAAAGGGACCTTCCCTAATCTGCACAAGATAAAACACCCAGCTATCAGCTCCAAATTGCACTGAAAACAGTAAGCAATGAAAGCATACTTGGTCACAAGACTCTGAGGGACAACTGAACATTCCCACAGTTGGTCTACAGGCGTGTTCCTCAGTTTCTGGACCACCAGATGGACATTAAGAATCATTCCCATGGAAAGAGGCAGCCTGTCCTGGAATGTGGAATCCAGTCACAGATACCAAGAGTGAATTTCCCTCCTTCAACAAACACACATCTCCAGTAAACAGGCCAAGCCCACCAGCCTCTTTCCAAGACCTTATCTAACAGGAAAAATGGCCAGTGACTACTTTACTCATGCTAGCGTCATGTGCCTTTATTTCACTCTGTTTGGAAAAGTAATCTGTATTAGCTTGGTGTATGGTCATTCCAAGAAACGCGCATCAAACGCAAAATATAGGTAGTCCAGGTGTATCCTGCCTCCCTGCGAGTAACCCGCCCCACACCATGCCGAGCCTGCGGGCGATTTCAACGTGCGCTTCTCTGAAAAGGGCCACGTTAATAAGTTCACCGCTGATAATGCCGAGGAATCCAGGAGGAGCAGGATCACTACACAACAGGATGACAAACATTGTGCGCGCTCTGAAACCTGAAACCAGTTTCATAATAACCAAGACAATTAAAGCCGTCATTTCAGTAACAAAACCCCGCGGGGTGCACCCTGCGCAGAAATGCGTGTGGGTGTGTTAAGACTTCAAGCAGCGTATGTTGACATCTTCGGATAATTCTTCATCAGACAGGTACAAAGTTGCGGATCATATTCGGATTAAGACCCATGGCTAATTGCAAAACAAGAAACTAAATCAAAACCAAATCAAAACAAGTTTAGTAGTACACAGGGAACTTGTTTTAATCGTTTATGGGTAATGTGCGTTATAATCACAGCGTTAAAAATAATCAGTGTGAAAGTGTGCAATAAAAATGTGGTATACTGTCATGCATGGCGAAGGAGGCGGCAGTGGCCGGTGTTCGGGGTCCAAACACCCACCCCAGTGCAGGAAGTCTGCGACGTGTTTCTCCCTCCGGAGCGGCGAGCCGCTGCACTCATCATACAGGCAGAGCAGCGCGTCCAGCAGCGCCTCGACACTCAATGCTGTCTCGTCTTCTCGGCGACCGCCCAGCAGCAGCTGCTCCAACTTCTTCAGCCTCACCTCGGCTGACATGCTCGCCGATCGACGCGATCCGCCCTACTGCAAAACCCCCCGGGGCCGGCTTTCTGTGGTTCCCCACCTGCTGCTCGTACACTGGGGGGAAAGGGCGACGAGTCAGCCCAATGAAACGATCGATGTCCGGTCGTCGTTTAGATGTGAGGTCTCCGGGTCTGTCCACAGAGGATTCTGGCCACTTCAGGAAAAGCCAACATTTCTGCTGAACAAATCTAGGCTCCGCACAGTGTCGACTGCCTTACAGACGGCTTGCAAACGCTGTCTCCACCAGCTCGGAGCAGGGCCAACTTGGTTACACCACCGTGATCCCAAAGGATATTTAAATTAGAGGAAATTCCAGTCCTTCCGTATCTGCTTGCTCCCCTTACTCTGCACTCCCCGGTAAACCCGTAGTACACGGTGTGCGCGACCCCTGAAACATGGCTGAATGCGCGCCGCTGCCCAATCCGCGGCTCGCCAAGAGCGCAGACCAGGGCCGCGAAGCCCCGCCCAGCGCGCCGGAAGCGCTCTCTGAGATTGACAGGCTCCCGGGAATAACGGGATTGGACCTCTTGGGAGTCTGATTCGAATAGTAATGTGGCCCTTACGGTTCATCTGTGAAATGCCGGCATCACTCATTTAACCACAATATGCGTGACAGAACACATCGGGTGTAATATAACCAAAATATACAGGGACAAATGGCAGGATATCCTGAGTCGTTCAACCAGATGACAGGATGTATCAGCACCTCAGTGCCAGGGAACTCCTCGGCATCCTGGGAGCAAATTTACCAAGAAAAACCACCACTCCACCCTTTATGGGAACAATTTGTAATTATAAGCCAAGCAAAGTGCTCCTTCTAATACACACACACCCACGCAGTAATGACAGCTTAGTCAGCCCTCCTCCCTGATGATCGTGCTCCTTTACTCTGACGGACTCCCCAGGCAGGAAACAATCTGTCTGCAGCCAGCTGTGCCACACAGTCTCATTCTCATCCACACAGCTGGCTGGCGACATTGCCACCACCTGTTTGACCAATAACATAAACAAAATGTACAGCACTTTGGTCAGCAATAGCTGTGTTTAAATGTGCTTTATAAATAAATTTTACTTACTTACTTACTAAAAGAAAATCAAAGATGCTGGGATGTGTTGTATTTGGACTGTGTTAATGGCAAGATCTAGGTGAGTTTATGTAGCAAAAGTTAGTTTATTGTTATAATGATTTGTAGTCAGTGTTGAATGGCCTCCTGAATATATTTTCATTACATTTTTCTTTTCTGCTGGGAAATACACATGGCCAGCATACGCTGCTGTTCCTGTCTTCTTGTGTGTGTGTGTGTGCGCGTGTCTGCAGGCATGTGTGTGTGTGTGTGTGCATGTGTGTGTGTGTGTGTGTGTGCTGAATGGATGTAGCTGAAAGTTCAGGGAGAGGTTTGAATGCTGTTGTTTCTGAGGGGTGTGACCTGACTGACCTCCTGACTTTGGGTTCCTGATGCCATTGGTGACGTTGTTCAGGCTATACAGGTGGGATGAGATGTGCAGAGACTCAATAAAATGACAATGACAGCATTCACCAGGGCAGGTATCTAGATACGTATGAATGGCAGAAATGTGAAAGGCAGAAATGGCATGCACATCGATGACTTGTACAGAGGTATATTAGCAGTGACCATTGCCTAAGACTGAGTACCTTAAATGTATGGGCACATGCCTTAATCTATACACTTCTTATTACTCTATTTTTCTTCATACTATTAAAGTCTGGAGCAGAATAGCTATTTTATGCCGGTGTCTGTACACTGAATCAGTTGCTGCTCTGTGCTCATTGTGACTCTCTCTTCTGTAGCTTCAGTCTTATGGTTACATGGGAACCCCCCAAAGCTGCTGCCTCCACCCCCTGCTCTTCACATTTCTGACTTCTCTGCCAAAACCACCTCTAATTACATCATAAAGTATGACTATACCTCCATGATGGGCCTCATAAGTGGAGGAGATGAGTCTGTGTACAGACAGGAGGGGAGAGAGCTGGTGGAGTGGTGCAAGGCCCACACTCTGCTGCAAAATGTCAACCAGACAAAGCAAGTGATTGTGGACTGCATAAAAACCTGCGGGAGGATTACCCTCTATACATCAGTGGCTGTGCTGGTAGCAGAGCTCAGCATTAATTTTATGGGTGTGCCCCTCACTGGAAATCTCTCATGGGGCCAGTATGTATCCTCCCTGACTAAGAATTCCCAGCAACAAACTCACTTCCTGTGCCATGTGAGACAGGCGAGAAAGCCACCTCCCATCCTGTCTACCATCTACAGAGGCACCACTGAGAGTCTCCTGACAAACTGTACCACAGGCTGGCTGGGGTTCTGCAATGCCTTGGACCGCCAGTCTCTCCCGTAGATCAGGCCTGCTAGGACACTCTGCCTTCTGTGGACATTTATAATGCCCACAGCATCCAGAGGCCACTGGCATCATCAGGGACCCAGCAGACCTCCCTCACAGCCTCTTTGCCCCCATGCCACCTGATAAAAGGTTCTATTCCTCAAAGCTAGAAGTTTAAAAAGTGAGGTTTAAAAAACACTTATTTAAAGCCCCTCCCAGCCAAAGATTGATTCACTATTTATTGCACAAATCTTTTTATTTATTGCACATTCTGCTTCAATGCCAAACTTCTGTATCTATTTCCGCAACCTTACCCCAACAATCAGGTGGTTAACCTTAGTCTTTGTCTCTGTCTTAATGGCATGTCATAAAATGTCATGTCTACATTATGTTATTATCATTCATATACTTCTGCTCTGTTTATCACTTAATTTGCGTTTGTACTATGACCAACGAAAATGATATTTCAGCTCCATGCATGATATATCTGAACCCAACAAACAATACAGTGAGGGAAATAATTTTTTGAACCCCTGTTGAATTCCTAACTAGATCCATTTATAAAAAATGAGAAGTCTATAATTTCACTGGTAGGTTTATTTTAACACCAGAAGATAGATTTTCAACAAAACAAAGAATAAAAAACCACTATGTAATAGGTACAAATAAATTTGTAATTTATCTAGGGAAATAATTATTTGGTCCTCTACAAGCCAGCAAGAAATTAGGTCAAGTACATGTGCACTAACACAATGCAAGTAGTACTAGATAAGTATTAGTAGATAACAAGCTAGCATTCAAATTTAATGCAGTTACTTTGTTAGATAGTATTCTTGGGTTACTATCCTGTCTACATCTTTAACATTATCACCATAGAAAATACCAAAGAGCTATCGAAGGACATCGGAGACAAGATTTTTGACCTTCACAAAGGTGAAACGGGCCACAAAGCCATCAGCAAGTAGCTTGGTGAGAAAGTGACAACTGTTGGTGCAATAATTTGCAAATGGAAGAAAGATAAAATACCTGCCAGTCACCTTCGGTCTGGGGCCCCAAGGATCTTGTCTTGTGCAGCATCAATGATCTTAAGAACAGTGAGGGCTAACCCCAGAACCACATGGGAGGAGCTTGTTAATAATCTCAAAGCAGCAGGGACCACAGTTGCCAAGAAAACAATTGGTAACACATTATTCAGATATAAGAACATAAGAAATTTACAAACGTGAGGAGGCCATTCGGCCCATCA